TATTCAAAGTGTAGTACATACTCAAACAGTCTAATCCAACATTTTAAAGTAGATCTATAAAAAACAATCCTTAAATCAAAAGCAAATTGTTATCCAGAGGGTTTGCTTATTACAGAAACGTTTGCAAATTGTAGTTTACAGAACATGGTTGACCATAGTTTGTCTCGAATTTTAAAACTAAATTCTGAGCTGCTTCAGAATTTAGATAAAACTGTAACCCATGGGGTATTTAAAGATCATTTAAGAATCCAGATACTTTTGCAGACATTATGGGAGTTGATATTGAAATTATTCTTAGATTGAGAAGTATAATGAAAGATGTATGCTGTGGGTACCACCTTAATTTGGAGGCCTTTAAAAAATATTGTTTAGATACTTCTGAAATAATTGTTGAAAAGTATAACTAGTACATAATGCCACCTACTGTACACAAGCTACTGGAGCATGGTTTTCAAATTTCTGAATTCTTTGAACTCCCAGTAGGTATATATTCAGAAGAGGCTCAGGAAGCACAAAATAAATACATTAGAAATGCAAGACTAGACCATACTTGTAAAATTTCGAGAAAAAATGCTATGGAAAATCAATATCATTATCTTCTATTACATAGCGATCCAAAAGTTTTTCAGCTTCAAAATGACGAAATCTATTGGTACTGTTAACTTAGATTCTGAAGTCTTAAAGCTTTTGCTTGTTGAAAAATAAATATTCTTTAAATAATTTTTTTAAGCTATTTTAGTAGTTATGTATAAACTTATATAATAAACTTATTGGTTACATAAATTTATATTAAATTTGGTTACAGTAAATTTATATTAATCGATAAATTCTAAATTTCATACAATAATCTCTTAGTGTTCCAAAAACATGACCTTACAAAATTTGTAACCCCCTCAAATTGAGGGGGGTTAAAGCTTTGTGCAATTATAATTTTTGAACACTAAGAGATTATTGTATGAAATTTAGAATTTATCGATGAATATAAATTTACTTGAGAATTGTACAAAAAATATTTTATCAACTTGTTGCTCTCTTGTTTGGGGTTTGTGTGGACAAAATTTTGGGGCTTTTTTGTTCCCAGACTTCAATCATCGCAATTTTTTGCAAATGATCTTTATTTGACATAAGTATAAACATATAAATTTTTGGGGCTTGTACCATGTCTGGAAGTTAGTTATCTCAAACATCAAAAAATGCTGGATCCGCGCCTGTATATATATATATATATATATATATATATATATATATATATATATATATATATATATATATATATATATATATATATATATATATATATATATATATATATATATATGAAGAGTTTATTTTCAAAACGCGGTAAACGCCATTTTAAAAATATTTTAGAAATTGTGTGGTTTATTTTTAGTTTATAAGGACCTAGCAGACATTGTGTCCGAATATATGCTAAACGAAGTATAACCCAATATTTTTTAACTTCTAAAAAACATTTATTTTCAAAACGCGGTATAAAATTTATTTATTTATTTTCAAAATGCGGTATTTAATTTTGACCAATCCGTGGCAAATGTATATTACTTCTGTGCAAGCGCAAATATTTTAGAGTTGCGTTAAAGAAATGGCGGATTGCGATGGACAAGATTAATGCGTTACCGTAAACGGGGGTGAATATGAACGCTTTTTAAACATTTTTGCATCATGAAAGAAAACTGTTGGCCTAATCGCAACCATTTTTTCTGTAACAGAACATTATACTACTCAGCTTCCTGTATTAGTCGTAAGCCTGATCAACACTATGCAGTAAATACCTTAGTTTTCTGGTTTTATACGAGCATATACGTATTTCCGAAACGGGGTGAAAATGAACGGCCAATTTGGGGTGACTTTGAACACTACATATTATTTCTATATTCTAGTATATCGCTATATTACCTTATTACAATGGGGGAAAAAACTTTTAAAGATCAAAACAGATAACATGAAGTTTATTTTACATAGAACATATTTTTATTTAAACTAAGTTCATGTGAAAAATTAGCATACTATGTTTAAAAACTAGTTTTTTCAATATATTAACATGTATCACAATATTTACAAATCTGTTCCACATAAAAACAGAACATTAAATATCACTATCCTCAAATTTTTCAAATGACTCACACATGCTGCATACAAAGTATAAGATATTTTCAATATTGAGCTCATAATAATCATCTTTATCATAAATGAGGCCACAACACTGGAGGTGATATGGTTTACTGCATTTGTCGCATTGAACCCACACGTCGTCGCTTAACTCTACCCATTTTTTGTTACAGAAAGTACAGTACCAATCATTATCTGTGTTGCTTTTTCGCTCTGTTGAACTTGATGGAATTGACTCAACTAAAGAATGAATTCTTTTACCTGGTACCACCTTTGGACCACGAGGTTTGTGTTTTGTAGTTGGATTTGTGCCTAACCCTAGATTGTTTTTTAGAATATCTAAAACAGATTCGTTAAGAACCATGAACGGTGTCATTACTACCAGGGTCTTTATATTTTCCTGGAAGACGTTTTATAACCTCTGTTCTGTCCATAGGGTAGATTCCCGTTGCTTTAAATCCGCTAACCAAAGCTACTGGTCGCAAAGTATTATTTAGTTTATTTAAAAGCGTAGGTAAATGTTCTTTTGGGATAGCTCCTTTGATACGACTTTCTGATCTCCACTTCAAAAGAATACTCCTCCACAACTGCTTTAATCCTCTGAAAACAGCAACATCTAATGGTTGGCAGAGATGAGTCGCATTTGGAGGCATTGTTATAAACTTGATGTTATGTTGAATCGTGGCTTTAATAACTTCAGGAGAAAAATGTGAACCAAGATTATCTCCAATCAATAGTGTTGTTCCGGCTTTTGAAATAGCAACAGGCAAATATATTTCCATAAACCATCTGGTAATCGTCCTACCATCAAACCACCCGTTAGGGGTGATGTCGTAAACAGTTCCAGGTGGTCCACCTTGAGTTCAACCCTGGTAAAGGTTCTTTGCTTTGTAAACTACCATGAACGGCAAAAATTCTCCAACAGGATTGCCAGAAAACATTAAACTGGTCGACTGCTTCGAATGTTCTTGTTTTTTTTCGACACGGTGCCCAAGGCCACGACGAACAATAACGGATTTGGACCCTGGATTGTCTGTTATATTGGTCTCATCATAGTTATAGATATTTTCTGGAGGTATATCCTTCAACTCTTTATACAAATTATCAAAATATTTGTTCAGGGTATCTTCATTGACCATGGCTCTACTGTGCTTAACATTATCAGCAACCCTGTTTGTTAAGTTATGTCTCTTCATGAAAGACTGAACCCAATCTACCCCAGGCATATTGTTTTTGAATCGAGCGTCAGTTATACTCCTTTTATCACAATATGATTTGACTAAAAGTCTTATATCCAAAGAATCAAATGGTACCCTCCAATCAGTCATATGTACAATTGTTTGGACAAATAATTTTTCTGTTATACTATCAAGTCTGGTTTGTCCGCCGTTTTTTTTCGGAACTTGATCCCCAAGCTTAACTTTTTTGTGTAATATTCCTAATGGAATATTGTACTTTTTTGAAGCTTTCCTGAAGCTAAATCCTTGGTTTTTGATTTTAATTAAAGCTATTTCTAAGTCTTTTTTTGTATAACTTGTTTTATAAGCTCTACTGTTTTACTTTCTCTTGTAATTTCGAGGCATAGTTCTAAAAATTAACAAAATATGATAAAAAATCGTGTTAAAAAAATGTCATTTTCAAATGAGCTTATAATCGGATACAGACAAGTTATACATTAAATTATTGTTTTATTAGAACATTATTTACCTGAACCTAAATTGAGGTAACTTTGATGACGTTTAGATGAACGGTTCTTAAGATACTCCTTGATAGGTGGGTTAATAACACGAACCACGTAGCTTGTACTGTTTATATGCGATAGAGAAAAGGCGGGAAAAGAAAATTTTGAGGGCAGCCGAAAATTATCTTCCACACATTATATTTAAGGCAAGTGAGTCAAAAAATTTCAATTTTTAGCTATATTTTATGTGTTGCTTCACCATTAAGTTAAGCTAGTACTAGTGTTCATTTTCACCCCGCTGTTCATATTCACCCCCGTTTACCTAATATCCTATTTCACATAGAAAAAAAGATATGATGTATGAAACAAAAGAAAAGAAAAACATTTCTTAATTCTTGTGTTCGTTTAAACTACCATGCTTTGTTTGTTTAACTGAACGAATTATGGAATAATGATAGAAAATATATTAAAAAGGCAACTTAAATTAATAAGTTTAAATATATTTGTTACCTGTTTTTTAAAGGAAAGCATTCAATAATAATACTTCCTTTTTATTTTTTGTTAAACCGACAATTGCTTTGTTGCAAATAAAATGAGGCTATTGCAGTATTTCATTTTTAAAATTTTATTTCGTTCAAAAATATAACGATGACTTTTATGCTATATTATTTGTCCATTAGTTCTATGGAGACTTAAAAATAGTGATCATCGTTGTTACAACTACACAACACTAAAAAAATATTATTGTTTATTGTCTATATTTAACTCTCCGAAACAAATATAAATTTACAATTGCGAATTGTGAAATGTAATAGTTTACATTACTTTAACAAAACATTGTTTACATTCACATTATCAATAAAATATAATGACCAAACATTAAATACACATATTTGTTCAATATGTTAACTAAAATTAATCATTAAAACTTCTTCAGGTCTTTTAAAGTTTAAAAACTTTCCATAACATCTTTATAAAATGGATATACCGCATTTTGCTAACAAGCTTTAATTGGATATACAGTATTTTAAAAATAAATGCAAACTTATTGACAAAAAAAAAAAAAAAATTTATTTAATAATATTTTATTTATTAACATTATATAATACTTTTTATGTATATATACATGAAGAAAAAATTATTTTTCCAAATAAACGAGAAATGTTGGTGTGGCGAAAAAAGTCAAAAATCTATGTTCAAGGCTTTCAAGGCGGTTTTTGATAAACAAGAAAAGCAAATAATTGATCTAAGCGAAAGAATTAAAGCAATAGAAACAAAGAAGCCAGATAATGTTGTAATTCCGCTTTTCAGCAACATAGTTAAATCAAGGAAACTCAATGCACAAGAAACTAACTGTTTAATGGCAGTTTCAAAATTTCAATCAGAAAAAGATCATAAAGCAAATAACATAGTTTTATACGGGTTAAAAGAATCAATTAAATCAGAAGAAGAACACAAAAAAAATGATGATTACAATCTCGTTTGCAATCTTTTAAGTGAACTGCAGCCAAATAATAATGTACCCATATCAAGAACTTATCGAATAAGACCGAAACAACATCACCATCATGCACAAAAAAAGGAAAACTTAATAAACATGGACGAAGAAGATGAAACTATTGAAACATCTGTCAGTACCCTAAAACCTGCACCTTTAATTGTCAAAATTGTAAACGGAAATTTAATAAGAAAAGAAATTTTAAAACTCGCCAAGAACTTAGCTAAAAGCAAAGACTTAAACAATTTATTTATTCAACCTGATTTAACCAGTGCAGAGCGCAGTTTAAGGAAAAAGCTACTCACGAAAAGAAACAATCTAAACAAAGAAATACCGCGAGAGAACAACAGATTTACTGGTACTCACTACTTTGGTATCAGAGGTACTGAGGTTAAGAAAATTAAAATTGTCCAATAGCAATTCATCACCACCCGGTTTCTGTACACGCCAATAAATCCTACAATTAAAACTAATACAATAAAAAACAACTCAAGAATACATTTATCATGTTGCTCCTCTAAGGAGGTACCTGGTAATATTACGTTAACCCAAATCATACCATCCTCAATACCAAATCAACAAAAATTATTCTCCAATGAACTAAATTCTGACGAAAAAATTATGCCAGAAAATTGTTAAAAACTAAAGCATTAAAACCTAAACGACCAAAACCTAATAGAACTTTGCGATCACAATACAGCCAACAACATAATAAAGCTTTGCTTAGAGATCCAACAACTATCGATTTTTCTGATATACTTTATTACTGGGCCAATAATCCATGCTCACTTAATAAAGATAAACATAATGAACTTGTTGCCAGGCTAGCTAATATCAGAGATCCATCACTGTTACCGCACGTCATATGGTTTACTGAAACCTGGTTCACAAACGATTCTGATACATCAATCGCCAGTTATCAATTACATCGTAAGGACAGAATCGGCAGAGGAGGCGGTGTTGCCATCTACATCAAAGATAGTGTCGTTGCTGAAGAAACAAATGTTGTCCAACTTAACTCGCCTAAAATTGAACAAATATGGCGAATGATCAAAATCGGGGAAGATGTCATTCTCATCGGTTGTATTTATCGCCCTCACGACTTCAATGATGACTACTTTGTTTCTGTTTTAGCTACCATATTAGCAGCAAAAAATGTTCTTCAAAAACTAGGGTGTTCATCAATGCTTCTGTATGGAGATTTCAATCTTAAAGAAACGTCTTACAAATCCATTGAAGAAGGAAGTGCTGTAGCAACCATTGCTTATGTAGCCCACAAGCACCCAACCGATCTAAAATTCCAAGAATGTCTCAATGAGTGTCATCTTACCCAACTGGTTACATTTCCAACATATCGACAGTATAGGGATGCCCCTTTTAGTAGCACGCTTGACCTAATAATCTCTGACAAACCAGACCGCTCCATAGAAATCACTAGAGCAGATCATCTAGGCGATACACCAGGAGGTCAAGCACATTGCATGATACACGGACTCTTTGCTTTAACCGGGCACAATACAACAACTACTCCGATGAAAAAACGATTCATCTGGAGCAAAGCCGACTACAATTCCATATCAACATGCATATCATCTATAGATTGAATAACAACTTTTAATGGAAGCTCTGTGAATGAAAATTACAAGATTCTAGTTAAAAACTACAACGACGCAGTCAATAAATTTATTCCAACAACAACCTTACCATTCTATAAAAATCAACCGTTGTGGATTACGCCAGAAGTAAAAAAAAAAGAAAAGCTCTGGGGTAAGTATATTGCTGCTGGTCGCGAAACACACGAAGCACTTCGAGTAAAACATAAACTTGCTTGCAAAATAGTTAAAAAGACTATAAATAAGGCGGTAACCGATCATGAGGAGAAGCTTGTCAAAGATTCAAAATCTCACCCAAAAAATGTGCATGCGTATGTCAGAAGTAAACAAGAAGTCAAAGATCCTCTTCATTCAATCGAAACTGACAATGGCATTATTACAACAGATAAAAACATAATTTGCTCCACCCTCAATAACTATTTTCAGTCTGTCTTTGAAACTGAACCTGATGGCAGTATGCCAACATTTCCCGATCGTACTCAAGCAACATGTAAAATTAATGAAAATTGGTTCACAATTGAAGACATTCAAAGTCATCTAAATAATCTTGAAGAGACTAAATCAATTGATGTAGATGGAATCCACCCACGTGTATTACGTAACTGTGCAGCAGCATTTGCAATACCATTCAACTCTATTTTTAGACAATCTTTATTGTCTGGCTCTGTACCTGAATATTGGAAAAAATCAAACATTACTCCCATCTTTAAGAAAGGAAGCAAGCTTAAGGCCTACAATTATCGACCGGTTTCCCTCACCTCAATACCGTGCAAAGTAATGGAAAAAATAATTCACAAACATATTATGGCGCACTGTGTGGAAAACAATCTAATCTCCAAGCATCAGCATGGTTTTATTCGTAAAAAAGGATGTTTGACTAACCTCCTCGAAGCTCGCGACATACTTACCGAGGCTATGCATCAAGGTTACAGTGCTGATATTATCTACACAGATTTTGCTAAGGCATTCGATAAAGTCCCGCACAAACGTCTTCTACATAAACTGAAAGCATACGGCATTCACAAAAAGCTGCTACTTTGGATTAAAATGTGGCTAAAAGATCGTAAGCAACGTGTTGTCTTGGGAGAACACGTTTCTGAGTGGAAGAACGTCACAAGTGGAGTTCCGCAGGGTTTTGTCTTAGGGCCACTGCTTTTTATTTTGTTTATTAACGACCTTCCTGATAGTATCGTTCACAAGATAATGCTATACGCTGACGACAGCAAAATTATTGGGATCATAAAGTCGGCATCGGATAACACAACGCTTCAGGCAGATATTGATAACGCGGTTACATGGTCAAACACTTGGCTCATGCACTTTAACATTGATAAATGTAAAGTGATGCATGCAGGTCGTCCTAATAAACGTTTATCACATGACTACTCTATGGAAACCGCTGATGGCATGCGCCACACTATTGCAACTACAACTATTGAATGTGACCTTGGAGTTCTCATATCAAACAATCTGAAAGTCAGAGCACAAGTTGAAAAAGCAGCATCCGCAGCCAATCGCATGTTAGGAAAGCTAAAAAATGCTTTCCGCAGTAGAAACTTAAACTTGTGGCGCACACTCTATATATCTTATGTCCGGCCACATCTCGAAACAGACATTAAGTTACTTGAGGGTGTTCAAGACCGCGTCACTGGGACAATATCATCCATCAGCCTTTTTGATAAAATAAAGCGTCTGCAGGTACTCAAACTAACCACCCTCAAAGAACGTCGTTTGCGTGGTGATATAATCGAACAATTCAAGATTTTCAACAACTATGACGAAGTTCAATTTATGGTCCCACAGCACCAACTAATTGGGCGTGAGGTGTACAACCTACGCGGCCATGACAAGCAGTTTGATCGTCAATTCGTAAAAGGATGTGAGGAGAGATCAAACTTTTTCACAAACCGAGTTGCGGTCCATTGGAACTCTCTCACACAGCACGCGGTAAACGCTCCATCTTTAAATGCATTTAAAGATCGGATTTCGATGCGATAAACTTTTAAATCAGCATAGAGACTCCTGGAAAAGTCTCTTCATCAAATAAATAATTTAACATTTAAATATATACATATGTATATGTATATATTTTTTAATTATTGTTACAGCATTATTGCGGTTTAAATGTATAAATTTGATTACTGAATATATCAAACTCAAACTCAAACTCATATATATATATATATATATATATATATATATATATATATATATATATATATATATATATATATATATATATATATATATATATATATATATATATATATATATATATATATATATATATATATATATATATATATAGTTTTAATATTTATATTTCAAATTAAAATGTGGCCAAAAGTCGATTTTCAAAAGTATTTCAAAATAATAATTATTTTTTTAATTTACGACATATATTTATGCATTAACAAGAAAATATCATTTGCTTAATTTTTATTACGCGTTTTATGAGTTTAACGAGTACCTTTTTGCGCCTAATAAACTAACTATATTTTTGAGAATAATTAACGAAATTTTTTATTGTTTTCAAGTTCATTAAATTTTACATCATTATATAAGATCCTAACACTTTTTTTAAATTTAATTATCTTATTCTATTGGCAATGCCGATTTAATCGTAAAATATATATAATATAATACTATAAATCGATTTTTTAGCTTTTGATTTTATGTTTTTAAAGAAAGGAGTAAAATTTCAAAGTATTAATTCACGCGGTCACAAAAAGTGAAAAAAACTTAAAATGTCCATTTTTGTCCACAACTAAATTTTTACCACATTATTATGAATGTATTGAGTACACAAATAAAAAATTTCTAGCTGCTCAAACTTGCTCCATTTCGATTTAAGGTCGATTATTTCAGAAGGACGCTAGATAAACCGGGGGGCGGGAGGAGAATCATAAACAAAAACAAAACTAATATTTTGTGACTTACAAAAATTAAAAAAAAATTTCGTTAACTGACGCAGGAACAGGGAGAGCGGAAGTGATGCCTCTTAATTTCCGCGCTCCCCCAACTTTTTGGACTATCCTACGCCACTATATATATATATATATATATATATATATATATATATATATATATATATATATATATATATATATATTATATATATATATATATATATATATATATATATATATATATATATATATATATATATATATATATATATATAACACAAACACAACCATAGCTTTAGAAGTGCTGATTGTACATCAAAGCTAATTAAGAAATTTTATATTCCAAGATTTGCTTGTGCGCGTACAAAATGCGAAGCAGAAACTCAGAAAATGCTTTACTAAAAGCATCATATGTGTTAATATTTTCTGATGCATCAAACCACAAGGACGTTAAAATATATCCAATTTTGGCTCGTTATTTTGATGTTAGAGAGGGAATGCAAATTCAACTGATTAACATGAATTGTGTTAATGGAGAAACATCAGATATTTTATCAGAAGTTATCTTTAAATGCATTAGTGATAACAATATTTCTTCAAAGATTTTGGCTATTTCTGAAAACAACACCAATACCAATTTTGGAAGTTTACAATATTGAGGTAACAATACTCACAAAAAGTTAATCGTTAAGCTAAACCGTGAAATCATTGATATTGTTTGCAATGCTCATATTTTATCAAACACAATAAACACTACATTTGGTTGTTTATCTATTGATATGGAGATCAAATTTATAATTTTTTTTTTTTACCAATTTACTGTTCGAGTTTCTAGTTTAGAAAATTTGTGCCATGAGGCCAGTATGGAATATCAAAAATTGCTAGGATTCTCAAAAGTGCGTTGGTTGGGCTTACTTTCAGCTATCGAAAGAGTGCTTAAGTTATATATATATGATCATACTTTTTATGCTTAGAAAACTTTCTTAAACTTTTATTTGCCTTTTTTAATAACAAAATGGATGAAATAGTATTGTTTTTTGTTAACAATTGAGCCAATGTTTTTTATAATACGGTAAAAAAAATTGAGAAAGACGATATTTCTGCTGCTGAAGTTGCCGTAGTATAAAAGACCCGATAAAATCTAGAAAAGAAGAAAAATTTTTACCTTTCATGGTAAGACAGCATTAGCAAGTTACTGAAGAAAGTAGTAATCATTTGTAAAACCAATTTCCGAAAGAAATAGGCATTTTTTTACAGTTTCTGTCTAGAGTAAATAGATGAGTGGACGCGTCACTTTAATCAGGTTGAAGTTTTTAAATAGTCTTTACTTAACTGTTAAGTTGAATGGATTGAAATAATTGAAACTATAACTTTTTTGAAAAAATTAATGGAAATCACATTCGATGACAATGATTTGCTCGACGAAATTCGGAGAACTAATTTAGAAAAAGAAAAAGTTTTCTTTTCGGAACTTTTCTTCTTCGACTGCCATTGATATTTGGACTGAAGGGAAATCCCAACTTAATGAAAACTTAGACAGCTATTTTGACATGATGACATGTAAATGACATGTTGCTGAAAACAATTAATTCTTATAATTAATATTTGTGATTTAAGAATGCAAATATTGTTTAATATTTTTTACACAATTTAGTTTCTTCACATGCTATTTAAAAAAAAATAAACGAGTTTTTAGTAAAATCCATTTAAACCAGTCCCGTAGGCAGGGGGGGGGGGAGAAGGGAAACGTGCTCCCCTGCGCTTTGCCCTGTTTGGCAACGAAAAATTAAAATTATACATATATTTGAAAATTGTTAGTACAACTTAAAAAGGGGCAAGGCGAAACCTTCTTGAAAATATAAAAAAAAACAGGTAAATATAGACGCATAAAAAATATAGATTTAAATACCATTCGTATTTATACATACCAAATTTATTCCTTGTACGTGTCTGGTATTTTTCAAAGGTCACCTTATTATAATACCTATGACTGTAGATTTTGGGACATTTTTACGTTTAGCAATCAAGCGATATGAAGTCGATGGGTTTTTGCAAAAAAAATTTATATGGTTATAATTTTTGAACACTGAGAGGTATTATGAAACTTAAAATTTATCGATGAATATAAGTCTAGTTGAGAATAGTACAACAAATATTTCATCAACTTATTGCTCTCACATTTGGGGCAGGGTGGGCGAAAATTTAGGGGCTTTTTTGTTCCCAGCCTCCAATCATCGCAATTTTTTGCAAACCCTCATTGTTTGACATAAATATAAACATAAAAATGTTTGGAATTAGTTTTATGTCTAAAATTTAGCTATCTCAAAGACCAAGAAATGCTGGATCGCCCAGTCTATATCTATACCGTAAGATGTCTTAGGTATAGATAAGGCTGATCAAATTTTAACAGCTGATATTTTTAAAAAGCCTACAAATAAAGTTTATAAAATGTCATATTATAAAACAATTATCTTTAGCTTTGATAAACTCTTGAACTCCGTAAATAAAATGACTAATTTTTTTTTCCCAATGTTTTCCATATATTCCAATATTTTTTCATAATATATAACTAAATTCGTTTTATCAAAAGATAACTCCCACAGTGCACCAGTAAATTTTTGCCACACCTAACATATTATAAGATATCGGTTTCTAAAGCTTACTTTATATTTTCCGTGTGACCTCGAATTCTTTCTTAAATCTTAGAATAGCTAAATGGCCATTTCTTTTTAACTCGAGGTTTCCAACTTGATTATCAAAAAAAATTCTTAATCATGTCTGAGGAAGCACATAAGTTTTCCGAGATGTATGATAATTTGCTCGGGCAGGGAATCTGTCAACTTATTGCAAAGAAACTTGATGAGATTCACCAATCAGGTACTTTTTATTCTAATAGATGTAAAAAAGCATAAATTATATCAAAATAGTGAAAAGCAAATGATGTTTGAAGTGTTTAATTAATTATCCTATAGACGAAAATTTGTTGCTGTTAACGGCAAAAAATCTTTACCTATTATTAGTGTTTGCAAATTAAATTAAAAAAATTATCTACATAAATTTGAATTAATAAAGTTTACTTGGCGGATTGTGCTTTTACGGTTATATTGATTGATCATCTTTGGTTTTATTAAGTAATAAGTAAATTTGTACAATCAATCAGTTCTCTTAGTAAGTTCGATTTAAGAGCTTTAATTTCCTGTTTTAAAGAACTGTATATATTTATATCCTTATCATAAAAGATTTCTTAGCTTTAATCTTATATTTATCTTCAAATTAATAAAAAATCAGGAGTAAGTTTTGATATTTTATTTTGTGTTAAAAATCTTTTTTCCTTCTATGTTCCAGTTATAGTTAACTTATTGTTTAAACTTATAATGTAGCTAATTATAGCTTTTGTATGTCAATGTGTAGAATCTCTGATGCTATTAAAATTGGTATGTGACATGAAATTTTTTAAATAATCAAACACCAGATTTTTATATATCATTAGAAAGATCTTGAAAACAGTATTTTAAATGTAAAAAAATTATCAAAATTGAACAATTGTACAAAAAGTTTAAACATTTTTGATATATGGATTTGTTGAAGAAACCGTGGCTAAATTTAAAGTTTTTCTTAAAATGTTACAACTTTGTCAATTCTTATCAAAATTCATAAAACTTGGTATCAAAAGAAAGGTGGCGGAGGTGTATTTGATTCATGTGTTATTAAAACAATGATTTATTTTAGCCGTTTTTTAATTAACTAAGAAATGCCACCCTTACCCAACCCTGTGAATCAAATACAACTCCGCCAGAAAGGTCTTAAAAAGGAGAATAAGGATGCATAAAAAATGTATGCAGGGTGTTAGAAGGGTGTATATAACACCCTCTAATACATTTAAAATCTTGTGTTTTTTTAAATAAAATTTTTATTTTTTATTGAAATTTTGAATTTTTTAAATTTTTTTTCATATTTTATACTATTCAATATTATTTTATTTCATTAAATATATTTTAACATTATTAATGTTTATTATGATACACCCTCCCCCATCTACTTGTGCGTATAATGGAACTCAAATCCGAAATAGGTACCTATTTTGGGTGAGTTAGTAGGGTGTCTTGGGGTGCTTTTTTTTCCATGAAATTTGGCAGGTTGCAAAAAAAAAGGTTTTTGCTGATGTCTAAATACATTAGACAAAAAAGTCTCAGCATTTCTTCATTAAATACCTGATGTCAAACAACAATAAATTCATTATAAATAAAATTTTTCAAAAAATATTTCCTTGCAGAATTAAAGTTATGCTATTCTAGTACTCAAAAAAAAAATGTTGATACAACTTTCTAAAAACATATTCGTACCGTGCCACTCTTAAAAATTCAGAAAAAAGCGTGGCACAAAATTTGGACATAGAAAACGGTTCTGAAAGGTTAAATTTACGTGTACCTAGTTAAAACTAGTCATTGGGAAATATATAGAAAAAATATATGTAGATGTGTGTTTTAGATAAATCTCAATCTAATCTCAAAATAATTAAATTCCCTAAATAGTTTCAACTAAAATTGTCATTTCCATATTATAAAATTTAGATTTTAGAATGTAGTTCAAGTTTTTTCAAATATAATATATCAATCAATTGTTCCACTTTATATATATATATATATATATATATATATATATATATATATATATATATATATATATATATATATATATATATATATATATATATATATATATATATATATATATATATATATATATATATATGCATATATGTGTGTATACATATGCGGTTGTAGTGTAGTCATAGAGAGTGGTGTAGTGGTAGAGTGGTGTAGTGAAATTATAAACAAACTTTATCTTTTTATTGTTTGAATAATATCTGAAAATTGTTTATCTGGAAATACATCATTGAAAATTGTTTTTTAACATTGAAAATTGTTTTTTAACTGAAAAATATGAAGATTTTTTGAATTTATCTGTCAAACAGCTTGTTAGTTTTTTAACTGTTCGTGGGCTAAGTACTACTACTGGACACAAAGTTGAGACAGCAGAAGAACAGGAAAAAAAATTAATCTTATACGGACAAGCTAAAAGCTTTAAATCTAATTAACCCAAACTATATTCCAATGGAAAATAAAAAAGACTTAGTATCTGAGTGGCCTAGTATAACAATGGGAAATACTTTTTCATATATTCTTTTTATATTTCAAAATATTTTTTATTATTTCATAACAAAAATTATTTTGATTCAGAATATATTGGCAAGTATAAAGACCAATAAGCATTTTCATTTTTCAATAATGGTTTTGTAGGCCCTATAATGCACTTCAGGTTTATAAAAAATGTTTTATTTGCATATTCTGAAGTGTGTGGTTTGCAAAAAATTCACGAAAAAAGAAAGCTTTGGATTGCCTTTTGTAATAATAATATTCTTTCTGCTTGATGTTCCTGTATGACTGGAGTTTTTGAAGTTTGCAATCATGTCATTGCCATCCTTTATAAAATGGAATATGCTAATAACAAAGGTTGGTGTAATCCAACCTGCACAGAACAAGTGTGTGTCTGGAATAAGTCTTCTAGAAAAGATATAAAATTGTGCCTAATAACTGACCAAGTTGTTAGAAAAAAATTGCAAATAATGAAAAAAATAAAATAATAAGGAAAACACAAGGAAAGCATTGCAAGAATTCGATCTAAAAATTGAATTCTTGCAATCGTGAATTTAATGAACATTCATTTGAACTTTTTTAAACACCATTCATATATCAGAGGCTTCTGTTGTAATGTTTAAATCAAAAATTAAAAAATCTGATGAATATATTGTAAGTAATCCTGATCTTGAAGAGCTATTGTTTGAAATACTTTTAGACCACCCTAACGCTGATAAGTCAACATTAGGCAAAAATATTTTAGAAAAAATGGTTTTAACACATGAAACAATTAAAAATGTGAAGTATAACAAAAGAGGTCAAGCTTAAAGCAATACCTGGTTTCAAATGAGAAAAGGGAGGATAACAGCATCCAAACATCACAGCATGTATACCAAAGTTAATACTCTTTTTAGAGTTACAAGTTCTAAGAAGCTTAAAATAACTCCACTTGTTGCTGAGATTTTATACCCTCTTAAAAAAAAGTTTGTTACTGCTTCTATCATATGGGGAATTAATCATGAGCAAGATGCTAAAAGACAAAGCATGTATCAAATCACACTGATTTAAAAATTAAAAAAAAAATTGATCTCTTTATTTTGTATAATAAACTTTACATTGCTTGCTTCCGAGATGGATTTATGGTATGCAAATATCATGGAAGATTGTGTTTAGAAGATAAATGTCCTTTTAAAATTTTTAATCAAAAAATCAAAGAAGGAGCTAGTGAATTAATTTCTATACAATAAAAAATGATCAAATATAATTAAATAAGTGTCATAAATATATTACACACAAATTAATTCTCAAATGACAATCACAAATTGCAAGTCAGCATATTTTATTGTTTGGACGCTTAAGGACTTATACATTGAAGTAATCAAATTTGATCAAGAGCTCTGGGATAAGGTGATAAGAAATTCAAATATTTTTTCAACCCATGTTTCTCCAGCACTATTAGTATTAAAACCTATAAGATTCTGCAGAAAATGCAATAAGCTTATACTCAAATATCCAGAAATCGATGTAAAAAAATTTAATGAATTTAGCAGTATTTAATGTGAAGTATGTTGCGCTTGGTTTCACTATTCTTGTCAAAATTAATCTCGAAATACGTAATTAAGGCGTTTTGAAAAACGGCTGCAGTATATCAAAAACAAAGAAAAGAAGCGATTCAAATATAAACTTTAGAAGATTGCTCATAATGAAACAAGTTGATTAATTAAAATTAAACATATATAAAGTAGAAAAATAATCCTGCTGTAAATGTAACTCCCAGCAAAAATAGAAAGTTTATTTTGATTAAAATTTTTTTGCAGAATGTAAGGACCTTTTTTTTTTTTTTTTTTAGCCGCACCTAAATTCCCAATTTTGCAAAAATGCTGTATGAAATTTTTTCCTGGGTAACACCCTGATATATATATATATATATATATGCATATATATATATATATATATATATATATGCATATATATATATATATATATATATATATATATATATATATATATATATATATATATATATATATATATATATATATAAAAGTGGACACACACATGTGTGTGTCCACTTTTCAAATATATATACACATGTTTATATAAATATATATAATCTTTTTCTATCTTATTGAGGTAACAGTATAAATAATTTTATAAATAAAACATTTTTTTTCACTTATATTTTATTTGTGTTTATTTTTGTAAATGTATATCATTTTTCAAATTATACACCTGATGTATTTTTTCTTATTTGTTTACATGTTTATTATTGATTTGTTTACATTTTTGCCCTCCTGAGAAAAATATCGCATCACGTGATTCATAATAGCCGCCTAATTACAAAATCTTCTATATCTAAAGAATATTTAAAATGTTTTATTTTGCATTTAAAAAAATTGAAGATTTAAAAAATAAGTGCTATTGTAAAGATTTTAACCACAGCAGTTTATGTCAGAAATGCTGAGAGCCTATAACTATAGCCGGTGTATTGTACAACCAGTATTTTAATAATATTAAACAAACCAAAGACATGAAACAACAAATAATTGCTTATAAGTCAAAATTAAGGAGATATTGCTGCAGTTCCATTTTCAAGTAAAGTTTACTGCAAAACTTATATGTTTAAACTTTACATAATTTAATGTTTACCTAAGTTAGATATTTGCATACACTTTCATTAACACTTTCTTATTTTAAAAATGTTTTGATTTTTTCTTGCCATTACCTCAGATGCAATGGCTGCCAAGAGTTCTGTGTCAAACATGCTTAAAAGGGCACTACTACAATTAAGTTCAGAATTATCAGGTTTTGTTTTGACAAAGTTCAATTTTTTAGTTATTTAAAAATTTATTTGTTTTTAGCTAAAAATGCTATAAAACAACTAAAGATGCTAGGTGTTTAATACGAATTAGTTAACATGTTTTTAGTACAGATTATTTAATTAATTATTACTTTTTAGGTGTTTTGCGAGTAGATGAATTAGATGACAGAGCTTTAGAAGCGCTAAAAGAGTTCAATGAGGATGATGCAAGCAATGTGTTAGAACAATTTTGTAAAAGCGATTTGTCTCATGTGCAAAATAAAAGTGCTTTTTTATGCGGAGTTATGAAAACCTATCGAGCTAAAATGAAAAATAAAGATTCTATTCCAACTCCTTCGGTTGGTGCTGGTGTAACTAAATCTGAAGTTGCAGAAATTAAGCAGGGTCCACATGAAGAAAAAGTAAAACAACTGCTAGATAGAACTGGTTATACACTAGATATTACTACTGGGCAAAGAAAGTATGGTGGACCTCCTCCACATTGGGAAGGTCCTGTTCCAGGTACTGGTGAAAAGGTAAAATTTAATTTGTTCCCCACTAATTTTTTTTTTTCTTCAAAAAGGCTTTATATATAGAATTAACTTACTAATTTACTAAATTTAATAAAATTATTAATTTAATCAAAAATATGCCATGCTATTATTATGACACATCACGGCTGTTTCACTCAATATAAAAGCGAGCTTGACGTTACAATTATTTTTGTGTTTATCAAAAAAAAAAAAGTTTAAAAATGCACTAACATTAAGATAATAGTGTTTTTTTCCTCTAAGCACTTTCATCTTCAAATAAAAAAAATATAAAAGACCTATCTTTTTTTTAAAAATCAATATTTACATAAAACGGAATAAAAATATTAATGTTTAAATATTGCTAATGATTTGAGATCACTTTTTTGTTTTTTGTGGCTTTTACAGAAAACCTGTCTTGGGTCAACTAAGATTTCATTACATAGCTACATGCCTTATAGTTGAAATTTGGAACATTTATAAATGAATGTCTATTCTATCTAATTTTTGGTGCGGATTGCTTATTTTTTATTTTTTAACTATTTTTTAATGCATTTATATTTTTAATTTTATTATTAAATAATGAAAATCATATTATTTTTGTAATCCACACCAAATTATTAAAATTTCAACTCTTTCTGCATATAAAAATCAAAAAATTGTTTGCTGTACCTCTAGCTATGTTATGAAATATGTTTTCAAACTTAGCTAGTTTAGAAACAAATTTTTCTAGTTTAATGCGCAAAACATTGTTTACATTTCAAAACAATCACCTGACCTTTAATTCTGTACGTCCCAAGCAAATATATAATAAATTTTATGAAAATAACTTTCTTAGCGAGACGAATTTTGAAGTATAAAATAAACAAAATTAGGCGGTTTTTTCTTTAGAATGGTGCATAAATTTATTATCAACTGGGTGTTCAAAGGTGGTTTTCTACTTAAAGAACTTATTAATGGATCAACTTATTAATATGAATCAATCAAAGTTTTTATGAGAATAAAAACACATTATCAAACAATTTAAATTAGCTATTTGTATATTTAAAGAAATGTTTTTTTTTTGTGTGTGTGTAAAAAGATTAATTCAAATGCCATAAAATAATTCTATTACCAAAAGCGAGTTTTTTTCAAAAACTTTAACTCAGTTTTGGTCATGAATTATTTTATTAGAGTCTTTATTTATTAACAACCTAACACCATATTATTAAAACTGTATGCATAGAAAAGAATTGCTCAAGTTTTTTAAAGGCTTTAGCTTAAAATGTTAAGAATAAATATTTCAAACTTGAAATCTGGTTTTATTTTATAATGCATTGAATTTATAAACTTAGTGAATTATTTTCTAAAACTAGAGCTTCTAGACTTAAAAAGGTGCTCATTTAACAGCTAATCCCCCCTTTAACAACATTTTTCATAATTTTGCAAGAAATGTTTGCGGTTTGCTTGCAGACTTTAATAAAGACTGTTTTAGTTTTCCTTTAACAATTAAGTAAGATTTTTTTTTTTATTAATAGTTGAACAATGAGTGTATTTAATAACTATCAGAAATATATTTTTCTGATTTTTTTTTTTGATAAAAAGTAACAACAAATTACTAAAATTTAACCAAGTTCATCATTTGTTGTGCTTTTTATAAACTAAAAGAAGTTTTTTTTACTATTGTATTAAATGTCGTATGATAAAACATTTTATTGTTGTTTTTATTTCTTTTACAAAACAAAATTATCTCTAATATTTCAAAAGTTATAAATGTTTTAGTAACACCCCTTAAGTCAAAATTTTCAAAAAAAAACAAGAAGCCGTAAAGCTCAATCTGAAACAGCCGTGACATGCTACTATTAGTGTATGTTTGTAATTTTTTTAATGTTTTTTTAATTTGTTTTATAAAAATTTTAACGTAATAATTATATTATTGCTTATAAAAACTTGTACTCTTTATAACACTATTAAGTTTAAAATATTTTATGTAGCGTTTGTTTTCGTGCTAAAAGTGTTAATAAAGTTAATCATAGAAAAAGTTTGAAAAGATTTATCATAAAAATACATTTATATATATATGAAACTACATTTATTATAATATAGTAATTTATTACTTTTTGAAATTATAATATAGTAATTTGTTACTTTTTGAAACACTTAAAGTTTTCAAAACATGCAAACTGCTGTGGTTAAGTTGTAAAAACAAAATATTTTATTAAAATAAATTATTTTGTTAGGCTTTGTTAGTCATGACTCCTAAACTTAAGTATTTATAAGAAAAGTTGTCCAGAACAAAAAAGTTCATTATTTTGAGCCCTTTTATATATGTTAGAGGCATACAAAAAGAAATCACTTAAAAACAATTAAAACATTTAATTACTAAGTTTAAATCTTAAAAAAATTTTTAAACTCAATTGTAAAATTTTTTTAAAAAACCTACAGGAAGCAGCAACTAATTACTTACTTCTCTGTATTGGCATTGGTCCCTAAAACATGCCTTTCAAAAATATCTTTTTAGGTTTAAAATCGAGATAAAAACTTTTGATAAAATTAGTGTCTAGCTATATATAAACTCCTCGCTTTATATACAGGTTTTGTGTCAGTCCATTCTGAGTTTTTGTTCCCTATGAAGATACCTGCCAATTTTAAATTCACATCTATCTAGGTGTGTCTGGATAATTGTTTTTTATATGCACGCAGACCCCTAAAAGGGTGGGGTGGGTGGGTGCTAGAAAATAAATTTTTTGAATTTTTTTTTTCTAATTTGATTACATATGTAAATAACATTACCTTAATTAAGTTCTTTAAATATTGGTGAGAGTCTATTATGAAGGATTTTCTGGTACAACCATAACACAAATATAAATATAAATTTTTTAGTAATATTTGTAACTTTTCTTGCTTTAAGTAATTTTATGCCGTGATTATTATAATTTTGAACTGGCACCTTGATAACCATGTCACACCAAGGTCTAAAGTTTTGCTAAATCTCTAAAAGTAAATCTCCTAATACATTTACACCACCCATCAAAACATAAAGTATGGCGGGATTTGATGTCGTATTTCAACATCTGGATCAATATCAAGATTAATAAAGTACAATAGATTAATACAATATTGTATTTTATTTCTTTCATGTTTGAACCAAAATCAAAGTACTGCTGATCTGTAATTATTAAAGATATTAGTATCTAAATATATACCTCTCTTATTTTAGATAAATTATGAAATATATATTATTACCAAGGCTTTAAAATGTTCTTGACTTTACAGCATTTACTTCCATTTCACCTTCATAGTACATGCACGCATATTTTCCACTATGAGAGTTAATCCCCAAAACAATGTTAGCTAGCTTCAAATCAAATGCTAAAAGTAATTTTTTAGACCAACTAACCAAGTAACTGAAAGAGTTAATTAAGAATTTATTGAAAGAAAAAAATATATCTTATAATTATGTTATTTTTGTTAATTTTTTGTTTTGTTGAAATTTACTATCAAATCTATACAATAAAAAAATCATGTTTTATTTAAATAACATGCAAAGAAAGAAAGTCTGTCAAAATTTATTAGCAGCTCAATAGTCTTTCTAACATTGTTGTAACTTTCTGGTATATTTGCCATAATTGCCAAAAATTGAACTTTGACACTGAAATCCAGATATTGATTATTAAGATATTGATTATTGATATACGAGAGTCTCTTTCATCAAAATGAAAGTCATTAACACATCTTCATAAACTTGCCTCCAGAATCTATTAACACTCGCACTTAAGTCTTAAAAAGATCAAGTCCTCTGTTACTAATTATCATATTAAAGAAAATCAGATGTGTCTTTCGCTATAACAACATCTCTCTCAATCAAACAACCTCCTGATTCCTTTATTGGTCTCCAGATTTTTTTGTAGTTCTTTCAGTCTTCCAAATATATTGCTCTTTGTATTAAAATATTCTTTATAAGTGCCGGACATTGCCGCCCCTCAGACCATTTTTGAGACCTGCTATAATGAGGGCAACCAACCATTGTTCATTTTTACTGCAAAAATGAACAATGGTTTGTTGCCCTCATCTAGCAGGTCTCAAAAATGGTCTGAGGGGGAGAGGCAATGTCTGGCACTTATTTCGACCCCTGTATATATATATATATATATATATATATATATATATATATATATATATATATATATATATATATATATATATATATATATATACCACTTAATAATTCAATACTGCTTGTAATTGGAATTAACTTTTATTAGCTTTTATTCTACCAGCATACAGCGCATAAACTTTTGTGAGCATTATCCATATTATAATAATAATTTTATATATATGTATATATAGTCAGGGGCTAATCTAGACCATTTTCGACAAGGTCAACCGTATTTGGGTGCCGCCCAAATTAAAAAATAAGGATTTTTTACAATTTTTACGGCAAAAGCCTTGCCAAATATTGGCGGTTTTTTTTTTTTTTTTTTTTTTTTTTTGTTTTGCAAAAAAAATGTCAATATTTGGCAATGTTTCCTCCGGGACTGGAGGGTACTGCTGTACAATGTTTTTTCCTAGAATAGCCCTTTATAGTAGAAAAGTGACAGCAATATAAAGTAATATATTTTAACATATTGATAGATTTTGTTAAGAAACAAAGTATAAATTATTAAAATAGTTTATTAAAATAATTATTAAAATATTAAAATAGTTCTAAGACATTTTAATTTTAAAAATATTTTAACCAATAAAAGTTTAAAACGCTTAAACTTTCAGACTAAAACCAAACCAAAATCAAAGAAAAAAAAATTTAAAATTAGGTTTATCAGACTTGGCCAGGAAGGCATGCAATTTCATGTGACCACGCAAATACTATTTGAATTTTTTTACCTTGACCATGGCTGTTAATATGTTTTAAAAATTTGTATACGTTTTAATAATACGCTAAAAAATCTTAACTATAAAGAAACTTAAAAAAAGACTTATCGTTAAAGAAATCAAAAAATCTTTTTAAAAAAAATAACAAAAAACAAAATAAAATTAACTGAAATTAAAACCAAATTTTAATAACCAAAATAAAATTAAAACTTAACTATAATTATAAACTATAACGATAAGATTATCTAAATTAAAAAAAAGTTTGGAATAAATAACTTTAAATCATTTATCTTTACTAATGTTTTTATATAATATTATGTAAAACCTGATATAAATAAAGTAACAACTTATATCTAATTTATATCTATTGTTTAATAAACCTGCACATTTAAAAGTTTTAAAAAAGATTCTTTATTCTTCGCGCTAAAGAAAAGATAATTTAATCGTTTATTGAAAAATTCGATATATATTTTTTAATTTAAAAACATTTGTAATACAAAAAATAGAAATATAAAAATATATGTATTATTCATTGTTTTTATAAAAAATCATTGGCAGTGATTTGTTACTTTATTTAAATGCATTTCAATAATATAAAAACATAATTAAAGATCAAAGTTGTTTTCAAGCGACTTTTAAAAAAGTTTGTTATCTTTTTTCTTCTCATCAAAAACTTATAATTCTTAAATAAGGTTTATTAAAGGGACCTTCACTGTTTGAAGTTGTTGCTTAAAAAATTAAATTTTTTTTCAATTTTTACTTTTTTTATTAACACTTAGCTTATTAACACTTTTTTTATTAACACTTTATTAACATATAGTTAAATAGAATATACAAAAAATTTACAACTTTCAATTATACTTTAATTAAAATCATTAGCTACTTAATTTAAAAGCGTTTTGCTAATTTATTTTCAACATAATTAAAAAACAATTTTTTCAGCGCATTTGTTAAAAACTATGATTAAATCGTCAAAACAAAATATTATTTGCGTGGTCATATAAAGACTTGGAATCGCACACCTTCCTGGCCAAGCCTAGTTTATTTGTTGGATTACCAGAAAATGTTTTATAATTGACTCATCAATATATTTAATCAGATTACAAAAAAAAATTATAAGCACATACCCACTCCACCCTTTTGGGATTTGAGTGCACATAAAAAGCAATTTTTCTAACACCCTTTGATAGATGTGAATTTAAAATTTTTTAAAAATTATTTGGTAGGTATCTTTATAAAGAACAAAAAAATTCAGAGTGGGCAGATGTAAAACCTTAGGGTCAATTTAGCACAGTGTGCACAATCTATAACTATATCATCAGTAAAATAAAAATAATAGTTTATGCCAATATTGGCAGACACCCTGGTACAGTGGGAGACTTCCTAGCTCTTAAAAATTTTGTAAATTATTGCACAGCAAGTGTAAACATTCCTAAAATAACATCAGAGAAGAACAAAGAATGCCAAAAATTTTGATTGTAAAAAGACCAACATTCAAATCAGTATTGACAACAAACATTAGCCTTATCCAACAGTGCACATTAAAGTAGTTGATCAAAATAGTTCATTTGTTATAGTCATTTTATTTAAAATAAATCATTAGATAATATATTTAAGATATAATTTACTCAAAAGCAGAAGTAGTTATAAATAAATCATTTTATTTTTTTATACTAAAATAATATTTTTATTAAAAACTTAAATTTAATGTGAAGGCTTCATCTAATTTATAGGCAATGTCATTGTCAATTTTCTTGTGGTTATCTTTTTCACAAGGGGTTGTCCATAAAGTATTTCCACTTATATGGGGAGGGGTCTTTAAATAGTGTACAAAAGCTATAAAGGGGGTAAGAGTTAATATAAAAGTAAATACCCACTAATTATAAAAAAATTCTTAAGTAATCATTGTTTTTTTCATTTATTACAGTTAACAAATACTTTTTAATAACTAAATGTTTTTCAATAAATAACTTTTTTTATTAAACAAAAATGGTTATATCTCATCGTTGTCCATAATAAGCCAGCTAACCAATAGAAAATGTAACTTTCTGACTAAAAATCCTAGGTTGCTAAGATAAAAAGATGTATGCATGGTAGGCAGGTATGCGGAGTCCCGAATGGACTCCGGCTTTATAAATTTTTTTTAATGGTCTCTGGTGTCCAAAAGCTCTAAACATGTTGGTTGATTAATGATCTGCTTAAGAAAAAAAGTTATGATGTTTTAATAACTTGGACGTTATTGTTTTTTATTCCTGGAGTCCCGGAGTCCTTGTAGCTATTATACCTAAGGACTGCGGGTTTAAAAATTGATTGTTTTTCTAACCTATAAGTCTTAATTTTTTCCCCATTAGTAGCCCATAAGCTTTTTTATATTTTTAAAGCTCTTGGATACCAAAAACTAGAAAGAAGTATTCTTTTTGTGACTTTCAAATCTGGACTCTCAGTCAATGTGGTATACTCTCATTTTATTTCTTTTAAATTTTTTAAAATTAAAACCTTTTTAATTAAAGAAGGGGGGGGGGGCGAGTTGTACATACTTTTTAAGGAGGGTTTTAAAAATATGCATGTCAACAGGGGAAGAGGGGTTCATTTCTAAATTTTAACCATACTTCTTTTGTAAATGACTTCTAGTTTCAGGTCTAAAATATATAAATATAAAAAATATATAAACTTAATAAAATATTGGATTTTTTTATTATTGATCAGTAATATTAGTTAGCTTTCATTTTTGTTTTTAGTCATTGTTTGATTAAAATTAGGAAACTGGTGTACAGTACCTGCCATTGTTCTGTGTAAGCTAGAGCATTTTAGGTGTTAAAATATTACGTTTAGAAAATGTAAAATTTTACAACTGCTAGTACAATGATTAAAAACAAAAAAATTGCAAAATTTGATACCCTGATGCAATTAAGTCTAAAATTCACTTGGCTAAATCTCTTAAAAGTTGCGCAAAATGGTATGTGCTACCAGATATTTACCAGGTTTCCTTGCTCTTTAACTCTATTCTTAGGTTTTTAGTAACTCTCAATTTAATAGTGGTTACTTCCAGCCTTGTTAGGATTGAACCAAAATATAAAATATGTGTATATCATAGCAACACAGTAAATAACTAGAAAGTATCCTATGATTTTGTTTCAGATACTATTAGGAGTTTTAACAAGTATAATTTTATTAAATTTTATTTAGTTAAATTAAAAGGCAATTATTTAAAAATGCATATAGACACAGTTTTACTTATTAATGATTGGTTGTGGCCCATCATGATATACAACATCGTGTTCCTGGTAAACAAAACAGCAATATGTGAAAATTATTATCATGAATCATAATTACAATATGGTATTTTTTTGTAGTATGCATTGACATAAAAGTTTGGCATGTAAAAATATTTTTGTGATACAGAGAGCAGTATTAATTACCAAGTTGTTAGGAATAGAACCAGTGCAAACACAATAATTTAATATAAGTTAAAATTATTAAAAAGTCCATTATTTTGTTATTTTGTATATAAATTTGTGTTGAAACCTTGAACACCTAAAAAAATTTAAATGTGTCTTGATATTTTAAGAAGCTCATCTTTAGCAACAACCTTGGCAAGTCTTAAATAATATTTTGATTTTTTAAGTCATAAAACTATTTGTGTCTCTAAGCAGTAAGATAATTAAATTTGTTATAAACCCATTACAAACAAGTATTTTAAACTAGATAGTCAAAATTTAAATAATTTTATTTGTTTTAAATGATTAAATAAAAAAAGCTACAACTGATGTTTTTATTTACATATATATTTTGTATTAATTTGTTAAACATTTTGTTTTAAGAAATTCTGTTCTCAAATTTTCATTGGCAAGCTTCCGCGTGATATGTATGAAGATGAGCTTGTTCCTATGTTTGAACCGCACGGTACTATTTATGATCTTCGCATTATGGTTGATCCTTTTTCAGGACTTAATAAAGGTTTTGCATTTTGTACTTATACAACCAAAGAAGCTGCTACTTTGGCTGTGAAGGAAATGGATGGAAAACAAGTTAGAGATGGAAAAACACTTGGTGTTTGTCTATCCCAGGCTAACAATCGGTTGTTTGTTGGGTCAATTCCAAAATCAAAAACAAAGCAACAGATATTTGATGAGTTTGCTTCTAAAGTTGAAAATTTAAGTGATGTGATAGTGTATATATCATCTGAAGATAAATCAAAGAACAGAGGTTTTGCTTTTCTGGAATTTACAACACATAAAGATGCATCTTTAGCAAGACGTCGGTTTATGACAGGAAGAATTAAAGTTTTTGGTAATATTACACCAACTGTTGATTGGGCCGATCCAGTAGAAGAACCAGATGATAATGTTATGTCTAAGGTAATGTTTTTTTATTTATAATTTTTTAATAGAAGTTAGTTATTTATATATATAAATAATAAACATTTAAACAACAAATTTTAAGTAGTATAAAATTATCTTTACAGTTGGTTCATATTTTAAACTAAAAGTTTATACTGTTTATTTCTGTGTAAAGGGATCCCCAACTACCGAGACAAGTTGTGTTCATATTTAAAAAAATTTTTAAAAAAATATTTGGGCTAAATTTTTTTGATTAAAACTAAATAATGAATCCATACCAACAAAATTAAAGTTATTATTTTAGTCAAAGCTTCCTTTCTCTATTTTTTTTTTTTTTTAAATTGGTTGTTGGAGTCTGTATAACGTTGGCCACAATCTGCAGACCTGATCATTTATTCCATGCATGTTTAATTCATAGCAGTTGGTATATGATGTCATTGTATAGATTTTTTCTTTCAAGATATTGTATTATTTTTTGCCGCAATCACTAAATCATGTTAATTGTATAACTTTTTACTAAATCCTGAAAAAAAGTTTATGGTACAACTAAAAAGTAAATTTATAAAAGTAAAAATTTAATATATAATGAATATTTGTCTTATGTGTGGTTTATGCTGAATGTAAACTAGATACTAAAGAATTTTACTAAAGCGTATAAATTAATTGAAAGTATTAACTGAATAAAAAACAAATGACTTAATTAAAACATAAACTGAACTAAGTAGAAAATAAATATTAAAAAAATTATTTCACTAATAACCATACAAATCAAACTAAATTAAAGTCAAAACAAATATTTGTACTAAAATATACAAAAAAAAGTTATAATATGAACATAAAAACGAAAAATCACTTTAACTTATTCGCTACCAGCCAAACAAAATGTCTTTTTTGTAGCGACTGCACATTTTTTTGAATAAAATTTAAGTAGCATAACATTGACAATTTAAATTCAAACAGTAAATCTCTTTAAAAGCATAACAAACTATATATCAATAGTAAGCTAAACAAATGTACTTTTTAATTAAATAAGTTTTCAAAATGCATCATTAAACAATAAGAATTGCAAGTGATTAAAACCATTGTTTTTATAAATAGTAAGTAAAACATTAAGAAATACTTAATTTATCGCGTAATATTTTTTAAAGAATTCAAAGAAATTTTCAAAAATTTTGCTGTGGAGTGAGAATTGTAGTCGGAGTCAGACAGGGTTCCCACACCTCCTTAAAAATCTTAAATATCCTTAAAAAATAAAAACCTCCTTAAATGTCCTTTAATAACCTTAAAAACAAAGTTAAAATTTGACTGCTCTCCCTAATTTCTCCTTTTTTTTTTTTATTCATCTAGAAAAATTTTTTTAAGTGTATGTATTTGTATTTGTATTTATTAGAACAGATAATATACATGTTCTAAAGGACACGCAGGTCCAATATTGATGGACACTAACAGCGTGCCCACCCAAAAAAATAATAATAATAAATTATGTAACAGCGTACAACATTGAATAAATAATTTATCAACGCCGACAAAACTTTTCAAAATTGATTGAGTTAATTTTTCTCTTAAAGATGTTGATATTATTGGCATTAACAACATCGAAAGGCAACTGATTCCAAATGTTGAAAACTCGTAAGAGAAACTAAATTTGCGAATATTTAGTCGACAATCTTGTTTGTGCAATTTATACTTATGTCCCTGAATGTTGTTTTTGTTGTCAAAAAGAAAGAACATAGATTTATCAATTAAGACCAAGTTATGCAGAATTTTGTAGCAAATCAATAAATCATGCTTCACTCGCCTTAACTCAAGCGACTCCAAAACAAGCAACTGAAGTCGGTTATCGTAGGTTAAATTGCCTAAGTGCAGGATTTTTTTTGTGAAACGTTTTTGCTCGTTCTCAACAACCTTTATTAGTTTAACATAATATGGTGACCAAACTGGGGAGCAATATTCTAATATAGGCCTAATATGTGTATTGAAGGTTTTTACTAAGATTCTAGAATCGCGAGACTTGAAGCATTTTAAAATAAGATATGCTCTAGTATTAGCTGCGTGTACAATGTTTGAGATATGCTTTTTATAATTTAATTGAGAGTCCCGAGTTACACCAAGATCTTTCGCAATAGAAGACCAAGCTAAAGTATGATCTCCTAACTTATAGTTAAAGTTAACAAATTTTCTCGATAAAGCAGGTGCAATCCTATGAACAAAACACTTACTGGTAGAAATAGGTAGTTGCCATGTTTCTGACCAAAGTACTACATTATTAAGAGCAATAGCTAACTAATGGCTATGGTCCGTATTGCAAAATGAACTGTATAACTTGATGTCATCGGCATAAAGTTTTAAAGAGCAATCAAGATAGTTGACTATAGCGGTTATATCATTGATGTATAGTAAAAATAATGTTGGACCTAACACGCTGCCCTGAGGAACTCCACTAACGATGCAAGTTGGGTTTGATAATGAAGTTCCAACCTTAACTTGTTGCCTCCTATTGTTAAGAAATGCAGCAATCCAATTTTTTAAATTACCTCATGTTAAATAAAGCTAGTTTGGCTAACAATTTAGGGTGTGATACAGAATCGAATGCCTTTTGAAAGTCGATATATACAACACCTGTTGTTAGATTATTGTCTAGTGCAGTACTCCAATCATTAACAGATTCTAAAAGATTAGTGCATATAAAGCGTTTCTTGAGGAAACCATGTTGATTATTGGCTATTAAGTTATGGAGAGTTAAGTATTTAATAATATCCGAGTTGATAATTCTTTCCATTGCACGACAACAGGTGCATGTGAGTGAAATTGGTCTATAATTATTAGGGTCTGATGTTGCTCCTTTTTTAAAAATTGGAGAAACAAAAGCTTGAAGCCACTGTTGTGGTAGACTATTTGACTTAAAGCTGGCATCAAATATAAACAAAAGTGGGATACATAAAACAAGAGCTAGCTTTTTCAGAAGAATGTTCGGTATTCCGTCAGGACCATAAGATGTACTCGGTTTGAGATTGATTACAATGTTTATCGAGTCGTTAACAAAACTAGTAATATTTGGTGAATAGTTATCGTCTGTAAATACACTTCCAAAGTGTTTATTAAAAACTTCAGCAGTTTCTTTGTGAAAGTGAAAAGATTATACTTGTTAATAAAGAAGATAATGTATAGGTTTTTGATAGTTTTCAAACCTATTTTTGTTAGTATATATATTAATATTATTATATTAATATTTATATATATATATATATATATATATATATATATATATATATATATATATATATATATATATATATATATATATATATATATATATATATAAAGTAATAATAATTTCTCTGTTAATATTTAAAATTTATTGAAAAAAAATAAGATTATGTTTTTAATTTAATCATTTACTCCTTAATTATCCTTACTTTTATCTTTCAAAAAAATGTTGTTCCCAACCAAATCTCTTTTAATATTAGGAAAATATCTCCTTAAATCTCCTTAAAATCCTTAATTTTAGCCTTAGTTTTAATAGTGGGAACCCTGTCAGAGTTGTGTTCAAAAAATTTCAACAACTGTAGCTGGAGTCGTTACTTTTTTTTTACGACTCCACACCCCTGCCTACAAGTTAATTTTTACAGTGTTAACGCTGTTTTATTTTGAACTAAAATTAAAGAAATTTTTTTCATGAAGGATCATTCAAGATTTTTTAACTTTGTTAAAGGGATCCCTAAGTGCTCCTAACATATGATCTCATATGAAAGAGCATAAAAAAAAAATATGTCAGTTTTTTTTCTTTTTCCCTAAATTGTAATAATAAATGCATGCTAACAAAAAGCAATTGCCGAAATCGCTAAAAAACAACTCCATTTTGATTTTATTTTTTCACCATTGAAACTCGATTGTTAGTCGTTAAAAATCACGTTAGTACGTCACAACAACTTTAGAATATCTACTTCGATTTTCAAGTAAAAAAAAGTCGTGATTAAATAGTTAAGTTTTAATCAAGTTTTTTTAATTAGTTTTGCAAAAACAGTATAATGAAAGACGTCGTTAAAAAAAAGTTATTAAGTAATAGTTTTAAATAGTTTAGAACTTATAAAAAAGTCTTACAGGGCTCGTGTTAAGCGTATCGCAATTGCTACACACACTTTTGTGGTTAGTTTTTTCTTAAAAAAAATCTTCTCGCGACTTTTTTTTTTTGGTTGAATAATTACTTTTTTCTAGCTTAGCATTTTTTTTAGCAATTCTTCAAAGTAATGTTTTTATCATAAAGAATGTCACACAAAATTTTTTATTCTGAATAGATAATTTGCTCTTTCGCGCGGAGATTTTCTTTCAACGTAAAACACTTTTAAATTTAAATTACATTAAATCTCTGCGTGGAAAATTTTTACAAGGTTGTTAAAGCGAAAAGTTGAAAAGTTGGTTTTTATCTTTGTTTATCAAAACTTCATGTTTAAAATAATGCTTAAAAACGTTAGAGCAAAAAAATTACTGACTTTGATTTGCATTTTTATACTGTTTGAAAAAAAAAACTAATAAAAAAGAATTAATATATAATTATTAATTAATATATTATTAGTTAATTCTTTTTTATTAGTTTTTTTTTTCAAACAGTATAAAAATGCTAATAAAAACCAGCAATTTTTTTACTTTAACGTTTTTAAGCCTTATTTTAAACATGAACTATAATTCGATTTATTAAACCAAATTTTTTTGTTTTATCTTTTATTGGTTTATAGACATCAACCATTTAAATGAAAAACTTAATTATATTTAAACTTTTATTAGTCCTTTATTCAAGAAACAATAAATTATAAAAAACGTGGTATCTAATTTTTTATTAAATTTTTGACGATGTTTTTTGATTTATTGACGATAATTTTTTTTCCCCATTACCGCACATCGGCGCGAGCTATAAGAGAGAGGGGAGGGGGTGAGAGAGCTATAAGAGAGAGGGGGAAGGGGAGAGAGCAAAAAAAAAAAAAAAAATTTTTTTTGCGATTAGATTTTTTTGCGTTAATTCGAGCCCTGTCTTAGTATAATTTCTAATAAAACGTCTATTCAACCTTATCAATTTGAACCAAAAAAATATAGCAATTTAACATAAATGTTAACTAAAACATTTTACAATCATTATTTTTTTTTATCAAGCAATAATGAGAGTAACCGTCACTTTTGAAACCATAAAAGTTACTGAAATAAATTTATTTTTTTACTAAGGAAATATTTTAAATAAACTTTCATATGTCTAAGTCAATATTCATTTGTTTTTAATTGACTAAAAAGAGTTTAATTTGACTTCTATTCATTTTTAGCCGTGGAATTGCCCTTATAACACAAATATATTAATTAATATTATAAAAAAAAATTTAATATACAAATATATTTTCACAAAATGCTACAAAACTTATTCTTGTTAGTAATTATGTGTTAGTTGAAAAAAAACGACTTTACTTTTAACTTTAATTACCAATTAATAAGTTTGCAATAATGACATTATGTCTACTTTGTTTAATTTGACGTACTAACGTTAGTTTTTTGAGGCATTAAAGTCAATAAACTTTGGACAAGGCGCATTTTCTTTAATCGAAGAAAAGCGTTTTTTTGAAAATTAAATTTGTTAGTGTGTGTTTATTATTACGTTTTAGAAAAAATAATATACATCAAACATTTTTTTTTTTAATGCTCCATCATATGAGATCATATCTTTATAGCACTTAGGGATCCCTTTAAGTGATTTTTTCTTGATTATGTAGAGATTTATTTATACCTTTAGAACAAACAAATTCTATTGAAGTTTATGTACAAAATAAGATAAATTATAAAGCATGCTTAAAAGCCGTTATCAGAGGCTTGCGGTAGTAAAAGAGTTAAACCATAACTAAATATAAATTAAAGAAAAAAATGGACAACTCAATTAAACCATATTAACTAAATATAAAAAGAGAAACCACATCATACTGCCTTTATTTTTTCTGTCTGTAAACTATAATAACCACAAAATATGTATAATTGTGTCATGATTTTGGCTGGCGTCTAAAACAAAGTAATAATAAAGCAAGTAAAAAAAAAAATCATAAATATTAAAAAATATATATATATATATATATTTGTATAATTTTTTACTAAAGCACAAATATTTTATATGACTTTCTGATTGTAGTAGAAAAAATACTTATATCTTTAAAAAAATAGAAACAAAAAATACCATCTTAAAAGATATTGCTGTGGCATCATATACCAAATCTATTATGAATTAAACACGCATGGAATAAATTGTCAAGTCTGCAGATTGTGGCCAACATTATACAGACTCTGAGAACCAAAAAAAATTAGGAGTTTTGATTAACACAATAGTTTTAATTTTATTGGTGTGCATTCATTATTTAGTTTCAATCAAAAAAATTTAGCCCAAATTTTTATTTTAAACATTTTTTTAAATCTGAAAACAACTTGTCTCGGCAGTTAAGGATTCCTTTAAATCAATTGCATTTCATCTGTTGACTAGATTTTAATTGAATTTTATTCCAATCATTCTGTCATCTTATAAAGTATCAATATGGTAAGAAATCAGGTATAAAACGACCATGAGTCATCATCTTTACTCTTAAAAGTTAAAAACTTAAATCTTAAAAGTTGTGATGTTTATATAGATAATCATGTTATCATTGTTTTAAATTCAATGGTTCGTGTTATCAGCGAAACAATCAAATCCTATAAATATAAATATATAAATTAAAACATTCAAGTATCATTTTAAATTATCTGCATATCTAATAGGTTTTTTTTCTGTTCAGTAAATAAACTTCAATTGCTGTTTACTTATAATAGTTTAATTGTTTATTAACAATTTGTTCAACTATTATGCGATTATATTTTTAATAATTTTGCAAACTATTTCTATAAAGTTTTTCAAAATTTTTTAGGATTAAAAATTTTGATTCAATAAAAATGTTTTTAAAAAACTTGATTTAATCCAACTAATTAAAATGAAATAAAATTGTGTAAACTTAGTATAAGGTTTTTTTTTAAAGAATTATTTGCCTATTTATTTAAAAGCTTCAAAACTTTTAATGTAACATTGGTATACAAAAAGAACTATTTGACAATAATGTTTTCAATACTATATTATCAAAATATACTAATAATAACTTAATAGCTTGAAATAGTTGCAGATAGTAACTAAAATTTTTTTTTCAGTTTTTAAGAAAAAATATTGGCTTAAGGTAAATAATAAATTGTTTGGCAAAGTTGAAAAACTTTAGAAAAACTTTTTTTTTATAATATTAAGGGGACCCACTTTATGTTTGAGTATCTGTAGCAACCTCTAAATATGTTTTTTATTAAAAAAAAATTTAAATTTAGAGTTGTTATATAAAATACATTTAGGGGGTGACAGCAGCTATTTTTTAAATGTTGTTTTATAATCCAACCTACCAAAAGTGACATGCAACATAAGTTTCTGGTTCTGACTAAAGCATCTTGGGCAGGATGCTGTTCTGCATTTATCAAATGCAGAACAGCATCCTCATGTCATACCCAAGGGGATTAAGAAAAACATTACTGCACGGTACCTCTTTGCTATCTTTCAATATATCACACTATATATCAAAAAATACTAATTTATTAAAAACTTAGCAGTATGTTGTATTATGTTGAGACACTTCTACAGCTTTCATAGCATGTTGGGTTTGTCAATTATATTCACAAAATTTGCAGACTTTTATTTCTACATTTATATATTAAATCAATAGTTTTACAGTATAAGAATTTGTTGTTGGTTGCATTTACTCTTCTGCAATTTTTTCCTGTCGTATCTACCATGCTGCTTTTATAATATTGTTTTTGGAGTTCTTCTGTCCTGCTAATATACTCTTCTCCAAACAGACCGGTTTTACTATATCTTTGACTTTGTTTTCATTGTCTTCCAAAATGTTACTTTAAATTCTCAAAATTCAAGTCACATTGTTCATAAAAATTTTTATTTATGCTTTTTTAGTAAAATAAATATATGTAATTCCATATATTTTTGAATTACGATAAAAAATAGCATAATGAGCATAAGTTATAAATCATTACAGCATGTTTCATTAAATAACTAGTCCATAGTTCATAACTTAGCAACCCTCAGAATTAAGAAAAATGAGGTCAGCAACAATTTGCCAACCTCAATCTTGAATAAATAAAAAAAATTTGATAAAAAGGTCTTGACGTAAAACATAAAAAACAAGGTCAGCAATTTTTGTTGACCTCAAATACTTAAATCTTGGCAGTAAAATCGGCATTGCTGAATGCCAATCCTAATTCTGAGGGCTGACTCATATAATATCCATTGTTATGGCTAAATTAGCCAAGGGTGATCACAATCTAAGTATCATGTTGTGTTAGGGTGATATGCTTTTATCAGTTGGTGTAAAATGCTATTATAAAAAGGAAATAAAGTTAGGTAAAGTCAGGTTAGCTCAGTTTAAAGGCTTACAGCCTAAAGATTGAATTTGAGGGTAATAAGAATTTAGAACTTTAAGTTGGTTGGTTTTAGTGTATAGTATGTTTATGCTAATAAATCTATAATTTCTCATGAGTTTTTTATGAATTTCGTTGTAAAACTAAAATTTAAATTTTCAGTATTTTGTTAACTTTTTTTTTTTTCGAAAATAGTTCATTAATAATTTTTGTTCTAGGTAAAAGTTGTTTACGTTCGTAACTTATCTCCAGCCATAGAAGAGACGAAATTAAATGAACTTTTTAAACAGTATGGTGCGGTAGAGAAAGTTAAAAAACTTAAGGACTATGCTTTTATTCATTTTGTTAACCGAGATGATGCTGTTCGTGCAATTGAAGAGTTAAATGGACAAGATCTTGATGACTTAAAAATTGAAGTATCATTGGCTAAACCACAAACTGAGAAAAAAGAAGCTCGTCGTGGTCAATCTGGTTTTGGTTCTCTTAATCAGTCAGAGGGTGGTAATGTTAGAGGAGGAGGTCATGGGGGAATGAGAGGAGGTTATGGTAATTTTCCATCTGGTGGTTATAATAATGATTATGGATTTAATAATGGTGGCTATGGAAATTATGATGATTCTTCGTATGATAACTATTATGGAGGTCCACCACCTCAACCTCAACGTGGAGGTGGTGCCCTAAGAGGTGCACCTTCAAGGGGAGGTCCTCGGGGAGGAAGTTTTTCTTCCAGAGGTAGTCCTAATGTTACTAGAGGGATGCCAAGAGGAGGGTCTCGTGGAGGAGGTTCTCGCGGTGGTGGGTCTCGTGGAGGAGGCGGTGTTCCTAGGGGTCGAGGAGCATCTTTTAGTAGAGGTGCTATGGCTTCTAAAAGAAAAATGGAAGGTGGATATGATCAGCAGCAATCAGCTGTCCCTAAAAGGAGATTTGGAAATGATCAAGGTTCTGGCGGCTGGAATTCTCAACCTATACCTCAACAACCATTAAAAAATGAAGGAAATTATTATAGTGACGATTATGGTGGTGGCGGACAACAGGAGTGGTATCAAGATTCTTACGGAGGTCAATGGAAATAAATTTTTTTTTGATGTTAAAGCACGCCCCAAGCATTTCTAATAACTTTTTAAAACTGCTAAAAATGTGCTAAAACTATGTGAATATGTCAAAAACAGTTCATCAACCGAAGTGTAAAAAAGTTTTTTACAAAAACATTGAAAGATCGAAAATGCATCATGATTACTACAAAACACATGATTACTACAAAAATAATTGACTTAAAAAGACAGCTAAAAAAAAATTGTTTACCCTACCAAATTGTTGTGTAGAAATGTCTTTTTAAATATGTGAAAATCTAAAATTTATATTTTTAATTCGCATGTCGCGAAAGTATTTACAATTTTTAAATTTGTTTTATGGCTGTCTAAAATTCAATTTATTTTATCTACAAAGTTGCTTCATTTTATTTCTAATTTGGTTTCAACTGATTATAAATTTAGTTTCTAATTTTAATACAGATAAATAATCTAAATTTCATTCACTTAGAATTCACAATTTTTACAAATTTTTATTTTTTAACTAATGGGGTGTAAAAAGTGCTTCCTAAATTTTGTCTATCCTCCAAGATGTATGTCAACATAAACTGGATGCAATAATGGTAAGTGGTTTAATGAGTATTTGCTTTGTCTTTTACAAAGCAATATAATTTTTGTTGCAAGCGATATAAATCTATTGGTGTTTATGAGTTAGTGACCAAAATATTTCCAAAAATATATTAAATAAGTACTTCATCTTTTGAGTGATTCGACACTGAATAGAATCTACGCTGAAAAGGTATTTGTTTTTGTTGCATACAGTGATATGAATGATAGGTATATATTGTCGTAGCTTACTTATATGAGAGCAGCTAACGAAGAAGAAAAGGAATGTTTATGTAAATATTACATTTAAACGAGTACCAAAAGAAACAGTGTGCCGTCAATTTTAAACAAAATATTACACCATATCTTTGATAACTTTTAAGAGGTAAGTAAATGTAAAGTACAATAAATAGATTAATAAATATGCGGTTAATAAAATTGTTTTATGACATTTTTTCATTATTATGAACATCTATCTATTACGATTACCATGAATGACGGAACAAAATAAACGGAGTTTGATTTTGCACGAGTTTTTATTTTTTGAATTTTTTAGTTTATTTTAATAAAGTAGTTAAAATAAAAATGCTCTTCCGTCCGCACATTGCGATGAATTAAATATCTTGCCACATTAAGCGGTTACGATGGCTACGGTTTATACGTTAATGGTTTCACTAGCATTTAATTTTGTCCAATACTTACTAATGGGAACTAACATACAAAGTATTCTTATGAATCTCAAAAGTTATGTAAAATCGTACCTAAAGATGGTAATCTTTTCATCCTTACTATCAGTTTTATTAAATAACTACAAGCAAAAGAATAATATTTGTGCCGAGAATCCTTATGCAAAGCTCCATTTATTGAAAACTTGTGACTAAAAAGTTACCATGTTTTGACTATGGGGGAAGGGATTAAATCATAAATTGGGTGACGTAATATTGGACGAACCCTAACTAAATTCCGTAAAAAGAAAATAGAGCAATTTAAAATTAGAAAAATTGTAATAAGTAAATAAAATCTTATTTCCGCTTAATAAAACAGTGCGTGGGCAGGATTTTATTCTCTCATCCACCCATGGCGTAAGTTTCAAGGCTTAAATTTTTTCTTCCACGTCTAAATTTTTCACAAAAATATGGTTACCTCGAAAAAAAAGTAAAAATTATTGTGTTAAAAAATATAATTCCTAAAAAAGATCTTCAAAAGTTAAGCTATGCATTAAGTTCTGGAACTCATTGGAGCAAAGGAAAATATTTAAAGATATTCTTGAAGTAAATATTCCAAGATAAAAACTTATTTCTTATCAAAAGTGTAATTTAATTTCCTTTGTATTTTACTCAGCGGGTGATTAAAATAAACATTACTCTTTTCGTATAAAAGGTATATTTTTATTACTCCCCTTTTGTGTGAAAGGTTCAAAATTCTATATTTTTGTTTAGTTAATTGTTCTTAATCAATTTTTTTTGGATAAATATAAACAATTCAGCGTTGCTATTTTTTTGTGATAAATACTCAACTTCAGTCTTAAAAAATATTTAAAACTTCCTAGACTAGAGTTGCAGATGAAACAGAAAAATGTAGCAGCCGTGGCGCAGTGGTTAGAGTTCTGGCTCAGAACCCAGAGGTCCGGGGTTCGAAGCCAGCTCTAGCACAACAAGCGACATTGGTACGGAAGGAGGCGTGAACTTCCTGTTAAATGCTTTCCCGCGGTGCTCTATGATAAGACCGTAAGGACTTCTGGGAGCACCTAAATGCATACAAAAAAAAACAAAAAACCTTACATATCAGTAAAGCTCTCATGGATTCTAGAATAGGATTAAAATTAAGGAACATGCTTAAAAGAATCGCCGCAAGTTTTATTTATAACACCGCTAACTTTATAAACAATTTTGTGTTCAACAAATTCAAATTATTACTAAATAGCAAGCCGGGTGTGTATAAGCTTGCCTGTTCATGTTGTGGCGTTTATATTAGTGAAACAAAAAAGAAAATTTTATAAAGAAGTACTCTCGAGTTCTTAACAAACGTCCTCTCCCCCCCCCCTACCCATGTGTAATAATTTTTGGATATTTTTCCTACCTACCCTAAGCTTATAAAGACCTCCCTCCTCTTTTATTAATTTTTACTTGTTATCAACAAAAAAATTATATAACTCAAAAGTAAAAAAAAAAATTGAGTGAAAATCGGCCTTGAAAATTTGAAAATAATCCTCAGTCACCAATAAAAACAGAAACTTTTAGTGTAAACAGGTTTTACTAATTGTCGACCTATTAAATCTCGATCTGCTAAAAATGAACTTTTAGTTTATTTCTTCACAAAGCTTTGGTTTTAATTATAGGATTTAATATGCTGTATAAAAGTTTTATACTTTGTTAAGTATAAAACTTATATTAGCGTATTAAATCCTATTGAAATTATGATCAAACAGCCTAACCCTACCTAAAGGTGAGTTTCCACTCATCCGTTTTTTCACCGGAACGGGATAGGGAAGGGAAAAATAATCACGTGAGCATGCGTAGTATTCCTTTGGACATATTAAAAATTTTACTTCGCATGCCCACGTGATTATTTTTCCCGTGAAAAAACGGATGAGTGGAAACTCGCCTTTACTGCTGTTATAAAATGCCGCAGGTCAAATGCGCATTTGACTTGCACATGCATAACTCGCATGCTGAATAAACAGGGGGAGGGGCATTCAACATGCCTCCCCCCCTCCCCGTTGTGTTCGGCATTCGAGAGTATTAAGCATAACAGATAAACGGCAATGAGGGAAATTGACATTTTTTCCGGAACCATAGAACACTGCAAGGACTGTCTCAGTAATTTGGGTACACCTTAAAACCATCGCGCTTAATTCTAACTACGATGAAAGGAAAATAAGAGTCACAGATTATTTATGCCCAAACGAATTACGAGAAAAGACACTTCCCAGCGCTTTCCAACAAAAGGACAACTGTGTTAAAATTGCGTTTAGTAACTGAAGGCCTCTTTTTAAAAAAATCATTGAAATTTTTTAATTGTTTTTACGTTACGTCGCTCATCTGTCTTCTTAAAAATTTTTACATACGCTCTAATGTGAACAGGGCCGGCGCGAGTAGGTATCACGTGGGGGGGGGGCAGTTACTATTACAACTTTTGCCGACTCGTAAAGAAAAGGGTTCTGGTTTTTTAAAATTTGCCACGACAGACTGTCTAAATTTACCGACTAATTTGTCGATAGGGTCTAAAAAGGGTTAAAATTGCGTTTAATTTGCCCGACTTGATGGACGAAAAAATCACACATACCCATCCTCTTATCGCACTGTCCGTGTATGTGAGATTATTTTATTTCAGGTCTGAGTTAATCAGACTTAAATATTACATAAATAAAGTAAAAATTAGTACTTAGCTGTATTTTATGCTTTACATGGAAACACTAGTTAAAGATAAGGTCATCACTTATTATCTAACGATCTTCTCTCTCAATGTCAACACGGATTTGTAGGCAAAGAATCATGCACTACAAATTTACTCGAAACTATGGACTTTTTGACTTACTGCTTCTCAAAAGCTACCTGTTGATGCCTTATTTATCAATTTTGACAAAGTATTTGACAAAGTTCCTCATAGAAGGTTACTAAACAAGCTTGAATCTTATGGAGTTAGTGGTAATGTTTTCAATTGGATTAATGCCTTTCTTTCTAACAGAACACAACGTGTCGTCCTTGGTAATGTTGCATCCGATTGAAAACAAGTTACTAATGGCGTTCCTCAGGGCTCAGTTCTTGGTCCAACACTATTTATAATCTATATTAATGACTTACTAGAACACATTAGCTGCAAAAATAAATGCAAAATGTACGCAGATGACACAAAAGTCCTTAGTGTAGTTAACACTTTTGAAACCAAACTTGGTCTGCAAGCTGACATTGATAAATTGTCAATTGGACCCAATTATGGTTCATGCAACTTAACATCAAAAAATGTAGAGTTTATGCACATCAATCAATCCAAATCTGTCCCTCACATCTACTTCATCAATGAAAACGACTCCAGATAGCAGAGTCAAAAGAATCCAGCTATAAAACACAATAACATTGGAAAAAGACCTTGGTGCTCAACTATCTGTTGATCTAAAGTACAAAAGTCAAGTGTTCACTGCTGCTGTAAAAGCTAACAAAATCTTAGGTATGTTGAAGCACACCTTTGTTAGCAAAGATGTAAAAGTCTGGAAAAACCTCTAAACATTATACGTACGTCCACATCTAGAATATGCTATCACCACCTGGTGCCCTCACCTTAAAAAAGACATTACTGAAATTGAACAAATACAACATCGTGCCACAAAAATACCTCATGAATTGAAGCACCTTGATTACAAGACAAGGTGTGATATACTTGGACTAACTTCACTAAGTGACAAGAAAACGCGATGACCTTATCCGAAAATTCAAAATTGAAACTAAAACTGAATTAATCAACTGGCATATTGACCCAATATACATTCCTCCCAACTGTGGTCATCTCAAACACTCATCGCGAAATTAATAGCAACTGCCTCGTTCGACTTAACTTTTTCAACAATCGAGTCGCAAATACTTGGAATGCTCTGCCGGATGATGTTGTCAATGCCTCTATTATAAATAAACGTGTTTAAATAAAATTAAGTCTCGTCTAGTGTAAAAATTTGTTTTGATTTATTTATTTAATACTTTGCTATTAATTTTGTAAACTGAATTTA